ATACATTATCATAGAAGCATGAAAATAATGTATATGACACAATACTTGGGTTAAAAAAGCCATCAACGTTGCGAATGATGATGTTCTCCAACAAAATCAACTAAATATTGCATTTAATACAAGTTTTGTCAATTTTAATCATACATGGGTTTGGTATCTGGATGAGTTATTCAGGTTTACGAGTCTTGAGGTTGTGAGTTCGGATAATCTCATGTCATGACGTTCCAAACTTGAGCAAGGGCAATGAATCCAGTGGTTCGTTGTAGCTTCCTAAGTCTAAACTCCTTTTCAGAATGCTAAAATGAAAATCATGACAAAAATGCCATATGGGTCATTGCTAAAATTCAACTACTAAAAAAGAAACAGTTCTTTCAAAAAGTTTAGGAAGGTAAATATCATTAAAGACAAAATCTTGGAATATTTATAAAAGGGCAGTAAAACTAGTTCAACAGAATAAGAAAAATACTGGGAGCATATGTAAAATCACACGCAAAGCATACGTTCATCAGTTATAGACAACCGCGTACTGCATATCCATAGTTTAACCAAGTATATAGAGTCAGGAATATCCAGACACCAGAGAAGAACATGGTGAAGTTCATGGGCATATTACATAAGGAAAGAAAACCAGTAGCGAGCCTTCATCAAGCATGCCATGCATCTCTCAATTCTCAGAAAATAGCTAACTTCCAAATCCATTTTCCTTGTTTTAGATGGATATACAAAACCTGCAAAGTGCAAATGGACAATCCACATGCAATTATTGAACAGAGAAGTTTTTGACAAGGATATCAAAGGTATCAATCATGGATATGATTATCCCTAATATTACCATGAAATCAAGAAACATAAAAGTCGCTAAGAATCCATAAAAAAAATTCAGATGTATCGAGTAAGTTCCACTACATATTATAATTGTTCTATCCTATCTAATGCAGGTAGGGCACCGATAGTTTAATTGAAAGCTCCGAAGGGCTATGAACCAATCCATGTACCTTAAAAAGTTACAGCCAACATTGAGCAACTTCTGACAGTTCTTTTGGAATATAAAGCCTAAATAAAAGCCTGGAGAACATATCTGCCATGGGTTTTTCTATAGCTTAGTTAAGATTACTGGTTTGAAACAAAACAACCCGCACATACCAAAAAGTTGCAGGTAACATTAAGCAACCTCCAATAATTCTTTTGAAAACAAAAAGCCTAAATACAAGCCTGGAGACATTTGCCATGGGGTTTTCTGTAGCTTAGTTAAGATTTATGGTCAAGGAAAGTTCAGTAACATATTCGAGCAAAATGGCTAAAGAGAGAATTCTTTTCTGTGCAAATGATTTTAGTATATGAGATAAACCACAGCAAGGGGGGGCAAAGCGCAATCATTTTGCTCATGGTTATAACAAGAATTAGAATTTACTTTTGAACTCCCCAATCCACTGACCTTATTCTGTTTCCTGGGTTAGACCTGCGAGTTGTTTGAGTATGAAGGTTGACCTATAAGCAAAAGTTAAATGGATGTATAAGCAGAGGATTTCAGTTTGAAAATTCCTCTTATAGAAGGTCCTGAGCCTATATCATATAAGGATGGGGCTTAATACTTAATGGTAAGATATCCATATTTTCATGTAGAAACTGAGAGGAAATCAAACAGTTCTATACAGCTAAATAGGAACAATTCCATTTTGCTCCTGCTTGACTCGATAGAAATCAGATATCCCACCAATTTTGAATTAAAATGAAACTGGAAACAGTATATCATTTATCAATCCATTTCTATGGTACCCATATTCCAGTTCTATCACTTCCAAACCAATCATAACCAATCTAATTTGTTCTTCAGATTATGGAAATCCTTTAAACAGTTTGAAGGTTAGAAACTTCTTTGGCAGTCTGAACCAGCTTATATTTCTCCTCACTCCTCTTCCATGCGACTATTACTCACTTCCCCATGATTAGCTAGCTAAGCTTGTCATATATAATCTGCCTTAGCTAATCTCGACCACAAACATAACCAATCTCAAAATTCAATAACGTTAATGGCTTCATAGCATGCACTAATCAGATACTAGCAAACAAACATCGTGATCAAGCCAAAGACGGTAATTGAAAAAATAATACTTAATTATTAATTGATAAAAACCGGGAAATAAACAGAAAGAAAAAATGAACAATGATCGATCAGTGAAAAAGGATGGGGAAAACTAACAGGCATACCAAGGGAATTTAGTTGTAATAGAGCTCGAGGCCCATTCCGTCGTGGATCTCATAATCCTTAAGGGTGATATGGTCTTTGTAAATGGTGTACCATTTCTGAATCCGGATCTTTTCGGGTCGGGTTCCGGTATGTGCAGCAACCAACTTCTTGAGGTCACCGATGGTGTCGTCCTCGTTGCATTTTACTCGGACTTTCTTCCCCAGTCTATCGTTCAATACCACCTCTATCATCTTTCCTTCTCCCTCTCGATTCCTGCTTCACAGCTTCAGTTCTCGAGGATGCTTAGAATTCAACCCGGCACTAACCCCAACTCTACTGAAACTCTGCTTCTTCTTCTTCTTCTTCTTCTTCTTAGTTTCTCGATGATTCTCTCTGAATGGAGAGAGAGAATTTTTGGGGTTCAGAGATTTATTATGGTTGAAGAGTTGAGAGGAGAGAATCGAACTTCTGGAAAATTCGATTCCATTTTCCGAAGTGTTCCTTCTGCATGACCATTTGGTCCAGTACACGTGGCGTGATGAGATAGGTCATCGAAAAAATGCCATGCATGATGATAATCCCAAATATGGGTATTTTCTTTGTTTCTTTAAGGTTTGATTTTTTTAAAAACACATTCAAAATTTGGAATTTGGACGTCATCAAAAACAAAAAAAAAAAAAGAAAAAAAAATTAGAATTTGGATTGATGAGTAAACTAAATCATCATATTTTTATTTGCTTAATGAAAGGAACTTGGTTCGTTCCAATATATACATTTCGGAATTTTATTGTTCGATTTAAATATGAAATGTTTAAAATATCGATAAATAAATATAATTCTCTTATCATAAAATTAGACTTGTTTAGCCAGAGTTACCACTCAATTGATAACATTTATAACTAACAAAGTTAATTAAATATTTAAAATTGTAACTATTTTATTTATATCTTTCCATATATAACTAGAAAATAGAAACCCGAGATTTCTAAACCTAAGCCCTGTATCCCTTTTCTTCCAAATTCCTATAGAAAGGTGAGGCACTTTTCCTTATAAGGCCTATCTTTGGACATTAAAAGATGAGTTTCAAAGGGTTTTCTCCTATTTTATCAGGCGGATCATCTAAGGCACATTAACATAACATGCTTTTTCTGTTCGAACCAAGATTTGACACCGAACTTCTCCTCAAGAAGATGACATCAAACTTCTCGAGAAGATGACATCAGATTAACTTTGCATGTATCTAGTATAGTCTAGTCTCATTTGATAAATAAAAATCTTCAAATAATTAAAATTAATTTTCTTATATTTTCATTTCCAAATAAAAAAATTTATAGAAATACTTAAAATTAGCCCTCAACAACCAACCATTCAATTGATTAAGTTATTGCAGTTTTCTGCTTTGCTTGCTAAACCTTTTCCATTCAGGATTCATAAGAAAATAATTTCAGGATGCCGCCGCTGATGCTTACAAATATTCTCCGAACTGCTCGTATAAAGCTAGAGATTCAAGGCCCAAAATGCATCTGCTTCCGCATGAAATTATTTTCGGTTAAAGACTTGCTACTTTTACCAAAAATCATAGTACAGGAATTATAAACAGTTAAAATACATAAATTTAATCCAAACAAACAGTACCCAACTTCCTATATTTAGTCAATTCACAAATCAATCCTGCAAATCGAGGACTTCAAAGCCAAATCTTGCTGTGCTGACCATCTGAACCCCATAGCAAGATCAGATTCCCACCCGACATCTTAATCTTAATCATAAGCAAATAATACTCTCTAATTTGAACAACGTAGATGAAACGAGATAAGCACAACCGACTCTAAATCCCATTAAGGGAAGTCCCTACTCAAAATTAGAAAATGCAAAATCCTTCAATATGCAATGAAATCCCCGATAAAAATGGAAGAAAAACAAATAAGTATTCCAGCTAAAATAAAAATTTAATGGACAAAGGGCCCCGTGTGTCAGTGACAGAAAGATGAAAAACCTTGAATAATAAACAACAATAAGAGTAGCAATAGCTAAAGAGCATTATAACCATAACACAACCTACCGTCCAATCCCCATTTGGATACAAAATTATACTGTACATACCAGTGATCCTAAGCCCTTCTCAGCCAAAAATGGGGTGTGGCTGTTGGGAGTAAAGTATCAGGTTAACCCAACCCAATCCGGACCCAGCCACCTCACTCCAAAACTGCAACCTCTTGGTCAACCCTCCAATAGTTTGCATCGTTAAACTCTTTAATGCCAGCCCCACCATCTTCTGACTTCTCATTTTCCGGCACCTTTGGTACAATGTTCCTCTTCAATGGCCCAGCTTCTCCTACTATTCCTTCCTTTAGAGCCTGTTCCATTGCTTTTTCAGTACCT